CATATACACACACACACACACACACACACACACACATATATATATATATATATACTTATATTTATTTGTTTATTTATTTGTTGCATATGTTTGTGATAATTTTCACAATTCCTTTGAACATCGTTTAATGCCGTCACTTAAATGTCGGATATTAGAAAACATGATTTTACTTGGACTAGCAGAAAATAATTCATTCCCACAACCCGCACACACATTATTGGCCCAAATTATTCGTACGTATAGAGGATGATTGAAAAGCCGGAGAAAATTCACAAGGGTAGGAGCGTCCCTGACGCTAATCTCGAGTTAGATGGCAACATTTTCTTGTAGACGCCGAATATACGAAGCGGCTCGCTACCTTGCTGTTACAGTGTGCTTCGAGTAAGTATACAATACCTGCGCGGTACGTACTGGCATCCTACAGCGACGTTCAAGAAAAATTATCAATCTAAAACTTATCGTCATAAAAATGGAGACTATTAGAAACTGTACGGCGTATATATACTTATAATAGAACAATTCATACATATTATCTGTAGTAGTTTAAAAGTTATTTTCTGGTTATTTTCTGTTCCTATTGTACGTCCTATTGTACATAGGTACGGCTTTCCATTTGTGCAAGCCTTATTCAAGACAAGTTCTGTGACAATTATATATTTCAAGGTATATAAGTATTTCTTTCATCGATTAAATAATGCATTGTTAAATAAATACAGTACTGCTGGTTTGTGTGTACATATTAGAGCGCAACAATGTGACCGTCAACGGACATCCCTCTATGACTTAGCCTGTATAAATATATATATTGTATAATGTACATATGTATTTGCGTATATACACTTGCGCACGTACGGAATATACATGTATATTCTGTATACTGTATGTGTAGATGCTCCTATCCAGCGTGTCTACTGCACAAGGGTATATCGTTGGGGAAGGATCGAGAATTGGAAGGGGGAGGATTCTCGTTCTCTCCCTTTCTCTTCAGCGTAAGGTGGTAGGTGGCAATAAGGCACTGGGCACCGCGCTGTTACGACCTCTGATCTGGCGAGCACGTCGGTATATGTATATGTATGTGTGCAGTACACGAGATCCCCGGCAACACGGAATATATACCCGTTAAACTCGCGATCGCGACGAGCCCGCGCGAAGGTGCATCCATAACGATGTGTTCTCTTCATTGCGTAATTACGAATAAAGGACCGTGACCTTTCTCGCTACGAACTCGTACAAAGACGGGATCTCTTGTAAATCATGTACTTTCAAGCACGTGGTTTAAATTTTCGTTAAGTCTATATATTATATACAATAAAATAATCGCAACAAGAAATAGAGAGAGAGAGAGAGAGAGAGAGAGAGAGAGAGAGAGAGAAAGAATTTATAGACATACATGAGTCAAAAATGCTACATTTGGTCAAGGCGTCTAATATTTCTTGTGAATTTATACAATTTATAGTTCAAGCCATGACTGTACGCTGATTAATTTGTCGAAACACGCAGCCCTAAATCAAGGCAAGGAATAGTAATATTTATTCACAAATTAATTGACAAGTAATTTAATATGATTGATAAGAGTATATATATTTATTTTCTGTCAATGATTTGATATAAACATCTTAAAAACTGTAAATAATTTATTGTGAAAAATACTATTCCAGCCGGGATTCGAAATTGGATCCTCCTGTATTCCGTCCTGGGCATTCTCCCAGTTCTATCATTGGAACATGTGATAATATTAATTGCAATAATAAATATAATATATATATATATAGATTAGAACATTTTTTTCAAGCGACATAAACAATATTAGAAAGAGAAAATCGATCAATGAGATTAAAGAATTAGAATTCTGGATAACAATCTATTTTCAATCGTGGAGGATTCTAAATAATGAATAAATATAAACGAGAATAAAAATTTAAAATGTGATAATGAAGAAATATGTTGGACCTTACTAATTCAATTTATTATTCTGATATACACCGGCGCCTTTAAATATAATTATTTCTTCATAACAAATAATTATGAAACAAATCGCTTCCTTGACTCTTCTTCGAGATATCTCGTTAGACAAGAGGTAGCTCGATCAACGAGGTGCGAGGGTTAAATGTCTGTAGTCGAGGACTTAATTGATAGGAGCGGAAGGATTAATTTTGGATCCGATCCACGCGCCGCTTCAAAGATCAGCCCGGCGTGGCGGCGGCGGCGACGGCGGCGGCGGCGGCGGCGGCGGCGACGGCGACGCTAGGCAGGCTAGGCTACGCGTGCTACATATTGTACATAACGCGTATATAACGCCGAAACATCCAGCGGCCATCATGGCTCTGGTCTCTCTCGCTTATCAGCGCGGAGGGAGAGGAGAGATCTGTCGGGTCGATACTTGGAGTAGTGAAACGAGGAAGTCCGTATAAGCGCGTGTATACCCCACCGAACGGCACTGGCGTGGAGGGGACGTGAAAGGGAGCTCCGTTCACCACCTCCTTGTTTCGGTGCTCGTCGACGATTGGTCGTGGCAGCGTAGCGCGTCATTGGGCAGACGCTGCCGTTGGATGAAAAAGGACGAAAGGTTCCACGGACCTAAGAATACACCTGTCACACGTATCACGAAGAGCTAAAAGGGAGGGGCGAGAGAAGAGAGAAGAGTGGGAGGATGAGATTAAGGGCGAGCAGGGACCATAAGCGGACAAATCGGACCCTTTCGTTTCGACTTCGGTATCATTCGGTCCGCGCATACATACTTGCGACCTGTTTCATCCCTCCCGGGGGGTGTTAAGTCGGATGGACTTGGATAGATCGCCGGGCATCGTTCAATGTCCGCGGTATCGTTAGACGAAGGTATAACAATCAAGGCGTTATTATAGTCTACTTCGCGATGAGTTGTTTCGTACGTGTCGGCAGGATGCTTTCAACAGGCAGCGCAATTAAAAAGCGTCGAAACTGCGGCGAAAACGTATCCAATAATTTAAGATAATGATTATCAACGATCTTAGCTTCGAATTAAATAAATGATCACATAATTTAGGCCCGATTACGGCACGATTACTGTGACTTTAAGCAAAGCTTAAAATTCTTTCTGTCTGTCTTTTTTTTTTTTTTTTCTTTTCTTTAAAACGAGACAAAGAGAGTTTCAAGTCTTGCTTAAAGTCAAAGTAACGTTGGTGCCTTCAAAGTAGCCTCAAGTCTTATTTCGTGTGCAATTTTCGATGTCTATAATTTGTATTTCTTACAATCTGATAGATATACTTCCTAAATTCTTTGAAGTCAAATTTCACTCTAAAGAATAAAAAAATGTAATCTTGAAAAAGAACGGCTTCATTTACAATGTTTAAGAGTGAGATTTCGTTCTTTAGAGTGAGTCACTCTTAAAAGTTTAGAGAGTGTACGAATATACAATATATTTTAAAGTTCGAGCAATAGCGAATTAACCGCGATTGATTATTATCTTCGAAAATGCTGTCTCACTCGAGAAAAGCTACACAGTGGGACTTTCGTAAATATATTTAGTGCGGAAGTGTACCGTATTGTCTTGATGTAGTAGTTCAGTAGCGATCGAGTCGGGCGACAAAGAGAGGGTTTCGCTTCACCTCTCGCTGCGTTTCTCGTCGATGATTGGCGGTAACCGAGGAAAGGATCGTGGCGACGACGACGACGACGACGAGGACGAAGGTGGTGGAAAGAGAGCATCGTAGTGGGGAGGACATAGGTAAGCACTCCAGGACATGGTCGGGTAAAAGGACGGAGAATCTTCCCCTCAACCTTTACAATCCCTTTTCCAAGAACGCAACGTGAGTCGTGAAACGCCATCATCAAGCATTCATAACGTGCAGCGGCGTATTTGTCAGAGGGAGTCCTTCAGTCCTTTCCTTCCTTCAGTCCTTTCCTTCCTTCAGTCCTTTCCTTCCTTCAGTCCTTTCTTTCTCTCATCAGAGATGCCGACAACCTTCTCTCTGTCGTGAAAGAAATGTAACAACGACGTTAAAAATTGAATGCCTGTGATGAATTAAATATTCAAATGCAGGCACACAGATGTTTAATAATTATATATTCTCATATTTTCATGAAAAGAAAAACTTTCAGGAAGTCAAATAGGATAATAATCACCATAATTTATTTTCTTATTAGTCATAAAAAATTATTTTAGATTAAAACATTATTCATGTAACATTCTTAAAGGACTTTGCATTAATCATGCATTACGCATACAAATTGAGTTACTAAAAATATAGTTACCAAAAATTAATAGTTTAGCTGCAGATAAAGATATCTACTTTTCAATCCAATTCGATCCAAAATAGCATTCTTCAAATGATGCTACGGCAAAATGTTCAATTTTTATGATTTTATTGTCGAAGGAAACTCTTCATCAGCATCTCATAGTCTACAAAATATCATAGTTTCAGCTAATTTGATTTTTAAAAATTTAATATTATTTGAATGACTAAGCGCTCTTGGAAACAAAGAATGTAATTCATATACGAATGATAAAGCACCGAATATTCATTTCTAAAATTTCTCTATAGATTCGAACACATCGTCTATACTTTAAACTTATTTGGAAATATCAGTTATGTTTGTTGAAGCAGAGCCCACCAGGTTTTACATGAGTTGTGGAATTGGTCATAAGTTAAAGCGGCGGCACATAATGCTTGTTTTCTTTTGAATCGCTAGCTGAATTACAAAATCTTGCCGCTGTATTGGCTGTATTGACAATGGCAACATCACAGCCAATTTAGTCTCGCTTCTTATAGATACTGCTTCCCGTCAAATACATTTTTTTCTCAGTTACGTATCTCATTTTTGAAAAAATTTATGTAGCAAAGCAGAATGGTAAGAAAAGTGAAAAAAAGCGAAAAATTGTGAACATTGCATTCGAAAGGTCTATAAACGATGAAATATTTAATACCTAACCAGACATTGTGAACAATTCGGATAAATGTATAATGTAACCTATTGTAACAGGCATTTTCGAATAACCAAAGGAAATACTAAAAGGTAATAAAAAAACCGAAAATTTTTTGTCAACTCTTATTATATCTTTAAGTCTTTTGTCGTATTAAAGTTGTCTCGTAAATTTCTAGAATCAGTATACTTGCAGAAAAAATTCAAAAGAATTCAGTCCAAAAGCTTAGAACGCTCGTACCGAATGTTATATCCGGGTTTGACTCTCGGTCGAGATAATATTTTTCGCAATAAAATTTAATAATAATTATTTATAGAATTATTTATAGAATTTAATATATCATTCAGCATTATTAAGATCGTAGCATATAAATTCACAACCGAAAATACGAGAGAGAGAGAGAGAGAGAGAGAGAGAGAGAAATTTTCCTTGATTTTTCTCTCGATTTATTGATCATAAACACGAAGATTATTTCAATATTGCAAATAAATCGTTATTACTTAGTTATTACTTACAGCATTATTATATGTAGAGTCTGACTGAAATTTCGGTTTCAGTTGAAATTAAAAGAAAATTTCAATGGCTAAATCGAAATTGTATAAGTTGTAATGCGCCGATAAGTCAAAAAACAACTGTTCAATTTTAACTATTGACTCGTTGATCGAACTTAAAACAATTTTTGTTTACAAATTTTGATGTGATCCTAATAATAACTGTGATTTCTTTAAAAGTTGAGGATGCAATATTATTATGTAATAGTTAAATATTTTTAATAAAATCTCGCTTTTTAAAGAGTACATAAATTTATCATGATTTCTTTGAAAATCATACGATTTCTATAGAATTAATTCAAAAATATCGATTTCAACTCCGGCCGAAAAAAAATGTGACTCCGTTAACTTCTCTGTCCCTCTATTATAATTTTTTTTTTTTTTTGTAAGAGCTTATCTAAGTTTCGATTTCGATTTCGGCCGAAATTGAATGACTATCGAATATTCATTTTCGGCCGGAGGCTGAATGTCAAAATGTGATTTCAGTCGGACTCCAATTATATGTAACATCATTTAGATGCAGTGAAAACAGAGAAAATTACATGAATGAGAGAGAATTAATGAGTAAAAGAGAAAGAGAGAGAGAGATGTGCGATGGTCAAATAATAGCGAGAGGAAAGGAAGGGATCTATAAAAGTAATCTTATAAAATAGTGATGTGTAGCGGCGAGAAATAATTAAGATACCACAAATAGATACGTATAGAAGTGTCCCACTGCTCGTAATGCATACCAGCGCGTGATTCTCGGTCGGATCACCCGGGGATAAGGAATGGAGAAGTGGAGATAGTCCCGTCGAACGTCAATACTAGATTAATCGCGTGATCGTCGCTTTATCCCAGCAAATAATTTTCCAAAACCAGCCGACGATTACGGCCTCTGGTGTCCAGGGCTCGGCTCCATATACATACAATCGTGCATGAAAGAGAGCTATGCGGCGACTGCGGCACGTGCTGACATATGGGTTTCCGGGGCTTTGCTTGTCTGGTCTAGTCGCGGCCGGGGTCTTTGTGCGGGGGTGGTAAATGGGATGTCATCGTGTTAAATGGCCCCTGATGCCCAACGACAGCCTCGGGCGCGGTCCATTGAAAAGCGCCGGGCCGGGCCAATTCTTGCGGCTAATTCACGCCGTTTATACGTTTAATTGCCCTTGCCGAGCCACCTGGACCACCGTGCGCGAGAACATTAGAAACGGGATTCGATCCGAGTCCGTTTAACGGGCACGTTTAGCGTGTCTTTCTTCCTCCCCCTTCGTCTCTTTCTCTCTCTTTCTCGTCGGAGTTATTGATTTACGAAAGAGCGCCTCTTTCCGGTGCGTGCACATCAAGGCACTCGGATGTATTTAAGATTGCCAGACAAACTACCCGATAATGTATAAGTTGACGTTTTATAGCTCTCAGCCACGAAGTAGCAAGAACGTGTTGGCGGTGTCGAAATGATATCGCCAACATCGACTCTATTAACAGCATCCATATAATTGTCTTTTTTTTCCAGATTTTCTTATTAGAACATATTTTTTTTTATCGAATCATTAATTCCTTCAGATCCTGTGCATTAATTATTGCAATGCACATCAAATTTAAAGACATCACCGTTATCTGTTGAAATTGTTTAATTTTATCGACATAATCTGAGATCAAATGTACATAACAAATATATATGCTAAAAGAATAGTCAACAAATAGTCAAAAAAAAAATGAATGGTTTAGTTTAAAAATTAATTACCTATTTATTAAAAAGTGCTTGAATTGAATTAAACAGAAACTGTTAACATGGTTCTATTAAAATGAAATCTGAAGGACAAACGCAATTATAATTATAGTCTCAAATTTACTTCGCTGAAGTGAAAGAAATTAAGGAGAAATTAAGCAGCTCGAATATTCGCTCGAAACATCTCTCGTATCGTTCTGATCTATCTGCTTCGTTAAAGAGGCGCGCGGGATAGAAACGTATGTGTATATACTTACATGTCGCACAGCTCCAGTTTTAATATTTTAAAGATAATGTAACGAGAAAAAAAGCGCGCGCGTGTCCGGAATTAATTCCCATTGCTAGTAGGAGGAAACGATGCACGCTTCTCGTCAAAGTGTCGTCGTTATCAACGTCCTGCTCGTTTCCTCGCTTGACGGGTCGTAAATCGCGGTATCGACGGTTCGCGCGAGAGTGAGAAAAAAAAAGGTGACGTGACCGAACGTTGGCGGAAAAAGGAGAGAAATTGATGGAGCGCCGAAACTTTGTGTGGGATTTTCGGGAAAGGAAATCCGCGGCTTGTAACACAAAAAAGGTGCACGAGTGAAAGCTATAAGTACCGTTGTGAAATATTTCCCATAAAGAAAAAACCGACCGATCGTTAGAAAAGAAACAGATCAAGAGAAAAGTATAGATATGAGGCACATCGATAAATCTGAAGAGATCCATTGAAATGAATAGACATTTTATTTCCACTGTGATTATATCACGGAAGGAATTCGTATATATTTTTTATTTCAATTTATAAAATAATCGATTTTTCCAATTTATCTTAAATTCTTGTAATTTTAATTCGTCTTTTTTTATTTCTTTCAAATTATGAATCAAATAAATTTGCACACGAAAAGTATTATTCTGCTATAAAGAAAGATCTATACGTAGTTACGCGGAAAATAGTTCAATCAAGTGAAACATGACTGAATAAATTATCCATTTAATTTGTCGTTTGTTCCGTGATAAGTAGATCGAGTTCCAGAATTGCATAAAATGGAAAAGAAAATAAGAGATAATTATTCAATACTAAAATATCTGTTTGTTACACCATATAAAAATAATTAACAAATAATTATTTACAAAAGCAGAAGGAAAAGTAAATCGTATAGCAGCGTTGACTGATTAGGCATCGAGGATAGATAACGTTAATAATATCAGGTAAAATCAGGCACGGAATGAGCAAGTAATTAACGAGACGAAGAAAAGAAATAAGCGAAAGAGAGAAAGAGAAAAATGGTGGACAGGCTGCCTGGGTTGCGATCTCCAGCAGGAAAATGAACGCCATAAATAAAGTCGGCCGGCCAATAATTCCGTCGCGATCGAGCGACGAGAGTTTTTCATCGGACCACGCGCGAGAAAGAGTGGAACAGGACGGCGGAAGAGCAAGAGGAGGCAGTGGAGGATCGAGGAGGTGGAGGAGGTGGAGGAGGAGGAGGAGGAGGAGGAGGAGGAAAAGCGGAAACGCGCGGTGCAGGAGGATAGACTGGGTGGCGTTCGGGCAGTTTGTAATCAAATTGAAAATTCCCAGCGCGGAGGAGACCGATGAAAGAGTAACCAACGGACGCGATCGAAACGGGTCGTCCACGGGTCGCCGTCACGTGACGACGGATAAACGGAGAACCGGTGTATATCTCGCACCGCTTCTCCGTAGAGCCGCGTTACCTAACTTTCATCCTCTCTCTCTCCCCCCCTCTCTCTCTCTCTCTCTATTTATCTATCTATCTATCTCCTTCCTCCCTTCCCCTCTCGTATACGACCACCCTCGCACGCTGGATTTCCCTGGGGGGCGGTGGGCGCCGATGGGGGCCGTCGGGTAAAAAGTTCGTGCGAGCAATTCAGCATCGCCGAGGTTCCATTAGAGACACGCACGCGGGGATTGAAGCTGATATAATTTCGATAAATTCACCGATTTCGACACTATAATCGCGTGGAAACGAGCCTCATATTTATTCCTATTATTATGGATACGTTTTTTCCGCGTTTACAATGGAAATCACAACACGGAATATAATTATATCCAAAAAATATATATACGTAGTCATGTGTACGCACAAGTAACTTATATAATTAACCTTTCTCTGGCAATAAAGGGTCTTTTAAAGAATAATCGATTTTTTTAATTGAATTTTAAGAATTAAAAAAAAATGTGAATAGATAAACAGGGTTCGGTATCGTCTTCCAAAAAATCTTGGTAATGTCCAGTTTGATAATGTTTTTGTTGTCCGGCTTTTATTATAATAAAAATTTGTTCAGGATTTCACACAAATAGGTGTACAACAATCTTGTCAGATTTTGATACATATAGTCTGGAATAATTAAAAAAATCTGCAATGGATCTCGACAACCCAGGTTGCAGAGTATGAGCGAAAATTTCACATTGCTGTTAAAGGGTTAAAAAAATGATATTTCAAAATTACTAATATATATAGTATATTATCATATTAAAATCTATTCTGCAAATATGTTGAATAAATATGTTGAGGAAAAAAAAACGGGGATCTCTCCGATAAATAAAATCAAGTTGCTACTTATTTAAGAATCAAATTAATGGCGCCATCTAATAAGAAAAGTATTTACTATTTTGTTAATAATTACAAATGTCGATATCTTCTTCAGATAAAATTACTAGTTACTTTATCGACCATCCATAATTTTATTAGTTTCATAGAAAATGTATAAATTCCAAAAATTTTGTATTTCTGGAAATTCTGAATTTTAAATTAGAATAATTAAGAATCTTAAAAGTTGACAAAGTATTAAGAAAATATAATTAGCAAAAGGAGATTAGCACTAACTAAAATTTAAAAGAGTTTTCTTAGTTTCTAAGAATTTTCTATATTTCCAAAAATTTTTTAAGACAAAATAAACAGTTTAAATTAAAAATTTATACATATTTTCATTGAAGTTTTATATTATACAATATTTTATATGATATATATTGCGTACGTGTTTACGAGAAAGAATTATGTATAAAAAAAGTATTTATTTTAATAATGACCACTTGAGCTGTTCTTTAGCTGATTGCAATACCTAGAACAAAAAAACAATTCTCGTCAAATATGTGAATCGAAATTGTAACTTGCAACTTGAGAAAAAAAATACATTAAGATGAGGTTTACCTGCGCTACTGTTTGTTCTCCAAGTGGAATGTCATCCGTTCGCAGTGCTACCCTCTGCACCACACTCGTCGCATCCGCATCCAAAATTATACTAAAAAGATAAGTTTGTATTTTACTATTATATTACATTAATTAAAAACTAAATGTTCCATTTACCCGCCATCGCAAATTTCATCCATCGCTAGCATTACTATGTCCAAGCTATCCAGTACTGCTCTCTTCTCCACATTCTTTCTGAGGATCGAGCTAACCGAGTCGTACAGACAGTTTAGGACACTCATTAAGATCAACTGAAACAAGCCCAATAAATTAATGCTCCATGATAATATTCAAAATACTTGACAGAATTGTGTAATTATACAAACTTCGTTTTCATGTGAGCTGCCCATAACATAGAAAAACAAATCAACGTTACTTCTGTACACGCAAGTCAAACCATCTAACATGATGATCTCTGCGTTTGCTCGATGTGTTTTACTAAACAGATTTTTCTCGAAGGTTTTTTGCTCCTTTGATGTTGGAAACACATTTTTGTCATAGTACTTTGCCAGTATCCTGTTGCCATCATTATCAAGGATGGCCATTCCTTTCACTGTATACAATGTGGGCTCCTAAAATTATTTTTTGAATTCAATTTCGTGAGTAATAAAACTACACATATCTTCACAAACATAGTAGAATATCTAATAGAATACGTATGCAATGCAAGATTTTGATTAATTATATTAAGTAGTTTGAAATCATATCAATGTTTTTTTCTTTTCTCTTTCTGCGTCAAGAATTATGCAAAAAATAAAACTGATAGGACGAATTAAAAATCGATTTTACCATATGACTCATTAGAAATTGAGTTAGGAATAAGTTCGTTGTGCCACGTTTAGGTTATGTCAAACAACTTCAAAATATTTACTGCGGTTTTCTCGCGCGAATATATCACAATATATTTATCACAAATATAAGCTTCAAGATTTTTTAATTGACATGTAAAATAATTGATATTTGTCTTAAAAACCTACCAATGGTTGACCATCCATGTTTACGTCAAATTGATTTTGACGTGTCCATCAGAAATCAGAGTTGCTAACTGCTTAAATATAAATTTCCCTAGAATAATGTTCATAGGGAGAAAAAAAATTTCAATTACAATTCTCGATTACTTAAATATTTTCTTGTAATAAGAATTTTCATGAATCTCTGATTTAAATTCTTTCGAATATTCTAACAATAGTATATTATTTTAAATATACATTAATTTTTTAAATATTATTACAATATCCCAACATACATGTAAAAATATCTCATATAATGCATCATATAAATCATACATGCATTATAATTGTATTATAAAATTAATTTTATTAATAAAGTCTAACTTTATATGATAAATATACTAAGAAATTATATTTATACACATATATGTACATGCGTGTGTAGCGATCTTTAACTAGACACAGCTTCATTCTTTACTTATTGTTAATTGAAAAAGGCACGGAGCATATTTCTCTTCGACGAACACTAATCCTTCTTTAGAACCTTCGTAAATTTGCGGAAGAATTCTGGTCCGTTCCAGTAACCTCTGTATGTAAAAACTGTATGTAGTAATATATACAAAAATTTAGCTAAAGATTAAACATGTATATATTTGTGATGTCAATTTAAATTATCTCACCTCAACATTAAGTGCCAGTATATAAATGGGAATAGATATTTCTTTAGCAAAAACATGGTGTAAAATTCTTTGCCTTGATTCACTGGAAAAGTTTCCTTTGGTTGTAAATTATAGTCAAACTCTGCTAGAATGCACTTGTCATAGCCAGTAACTAATGGGCATGACGCGTAACCATCATAAGCCATCATCATTGGTTTGCCAGTCAAATCATCCAATATATTCTGGTACAACACTTTTCCCTGTGCGGCTATTTAACAAACGTGTTATAAGTGTGTAATCGCGATATTTTACTGTTTCTTAAATTTAAAATATATTATTTCTTTACCTATTGCAGCCATTGTCTTAGAATTTGGTGTACTTGTGCAATCACCTATGCCAAATATATTTGGATATTTCGTATGTCGTAGCGTTTTAGGATCAATGGAGAGAAATCCAGCTTCGTTAGTCAATCCAGGATGTTTTTTCAAAACTGCAGGCGGTCCCATTGGAGGCGTCACATGGAGAAGAGAATACTAATACAATATAACAGGAATATTAAATTTATAATCGGTAATATTTAATCTTTTATCATAGATAAAATATACTGATTATATTATAGATAAAACATTCATACTTCCTGAACTAATGTCTCTCCCGGTGAGTTTAGTTTCTCAAATGTGGCCTGTCGTTTGCTCGGGTCTATCTTTACTAGATTCGTTTGAAGATTGACAGTGATGTTTCTTTGTTTACAAACGCTCCAGAGGGAATCGGCGTATTTTTTAACTCCGAATATAACTGGCAACGCAGTGTTATATACGATGTCAATGTTATTTCGCATTTCGTGCTTTAAGTAAAAAATAAACAATTAATTGAAAACTGTAAAAAAGTCCATCAGAGCCTACATCAGCTGTTCGGATGCACCGAAAATTTCTTTATTTTCGTGTGAATGTAACAAAACTTTTGCGTTATTTATGTAATTTCGATTTATATGTTATATTGATAAAGGTCGAAACGTATATTTTATTCGTTTTGTTAAAACGAAGAAATTTTCGGTGCATCCGAACAGCTGATATAAACCCTAATGAGCTTGTTTACATTTTTCACCGATATATTCTTTCGAGCCTCATTTTATATTTTTGTTCAATTAATTGAAAATTCTCCTTGCAAGTTTAACATATAATATAATAATTATACAGGCATACATTGCGGTAGTAATCCTCGGCAATATAGGCGATCTTTTGAGGTGCACCCGGGCATTTAACCGGAGTATTCGGAAACGTGAATATCGCAGTCCCTTTTCCAGTGTTTTTTATTTTTTGATAAACATGGGGTACAGTGTCATGTCCGTAAATAGAACATACTTGTGCATCAGGATTATATACACTGTCCAACAGACCTGGAATCTGTGAAAAATATTTTTGCATCGTTTTGTAGGTACATTATACAAATTCAGTTTAGTCACTATCTGATGTCTTACTTTGTCCCAATGCAATTGCAAACCAAGTGCAACGATCATAATGTCATATTGTATAGTATCTCCATAATGTGTTAACACTTTGTTAGCGTCTGGTTGAAATTCGACGACGGAAGTTTTCAACCATTTCGATTTCTTTGGCAAAACATCTTTCATATGCTTTTTCGATGATGCATAAGAACTGATACCACCACCAATCAAAGTAAACAAGGGTTGATAATAATGTACCTAAAAAAATGTTTTTAAATTGTCGGATAAAAATATATAAGGTGATTTTTATTTATTACTTACATCATTGGGTTCCAGCACGATAATTTGTTCTGAATTATTGATTTTTCTTGACAATTTTGCAGCCATCGAACAGCCACCGGTACCGCCTCCAATCACCAGGATTTTGCAGCTAATGCAATAGATTTATGTATGTTAAACTTAAATAAATATTCATAGTCGATTCTTTCATTTAAGATTGACTGAGTACAATCTTGAGACGTCATGAATCAATTAGAGAGCTATATCAGCATTTTAAGATATTATTTAAAATGATCTTAAAATAAAAATGGACTATGATTACTTAATAAACGATTTATTTTCTGCTCATTATCAGTGAAACAAATAGTACTTACGAATGATGGATCTGTCTACATTCATTTCTAAGCGACATACACTTTGACAACAACGTAAGATTGCGAGACAACAGCAGAAGAGACATGATGTATTCTAAAAGTCAATTGTGTGATTCTGTATAGAGAATAAATACGGTTCGAATGCCTGTAAAAAATTTGTTCAGGATACAAGACATGTATGACGTGATAAAAAAATGTTAACCCAAAGCCAGTAGGCCGATTAACGATTCGAGACATTCATACCTTGTTTATATTCGATCGAATCTTTTGTTCTAGGTTAATTTCTTATGTTCGTTTGTCATCCATATCCATCTCGTGATATTGCAAACCACTCCTGAAGAAGAAAGATTAATCGAAAATCATAGCTTCGAAGATACGCCGTCCACCTTGCAATCCTTTGCATACGTGACGTCTGGTGCATCATCATAACGAGCGAAAATTTTTACGACCTTGGAGGACCCCTTCTCGCATAAAGACAGATTTACAGATGCAGATACGGGACCTTCGAGGGCTTCGAGGGCTCCTCAAAAGATCGGAACGACGCGAGAGAAAAAGAGATATGTATGTACATAAAAAATATTCGATGGAATGTTTTAAATGCCCGAATAGCTCGAGTATGTTTATACATTTTGTGGCTCGAGTATTATCTTAATCTTCGTTACTTTAAATATTTTTTTAGATACAAAAAATCATATGCTTATACTATAATGTTAATTACGATATGTATCACATGATATACATATATATGAATTATTATAATACTTATTTTTTGAATATTTTTAAAATAGAGAACGCTTTTATGCCAACTGTGGATAAAGTACCGTAGATATTCGAAATCCCTGATTAAGTTTACTTAAATCAAGTTTACTTAATTATTTATAGCACGACAAATGTTTCAGAAATTTTAAAACGTATTCTCCTTGGTATTGTATTTATAATGTTATATTTATGATATCTATTTAAAAATCTTAAAAGGAATTTAAGGTCTTTGGTGTCATATTATATTATAGATTCGGCAATTGCTATAGCATTCGAAATTGATAACATCTCGAAATTCTAATCGAGATACGTTTATATTGCGAAAAAAGATTGATTACAAATGAAAGATGGTGCTATCACATGACAGTCGAAATTTCGGAAAAGTCACACGACCAATCAGAATCATTTAAGTTTAGCATATTATACAAACAAATGATTCTAATTCGTCGTATTACTTTTCCGAAATTCCGATTGTCATGGCACTTTAAGATATATAAGAAGTACTCATATACGAGATAAAGCCCAGCAAACGAGAATGAATTGAAATGAATTGAAATGGATTCAGATTTTCAGAAATATTGATTCACGAATGTTAAAATGAATGCATTTTTATTCATTTATAGGAATTGCATGGAGTATATCTCTATGCCTTTCAATCTAAAAATAATAAAAATATTAGCTTTTTCTGTGCATTGTGAATGCTATACAATTCAAAATTTTGAATAGGAAATGCAGTTTTTCAATCCAATTGCATCCAATTGAATCTAATTGAATTCAATTGAATTCAATTAAATAAAAAAAAAATATTCGCTATTTAAAATACGCATTCGGATAGAAAAGAATTTCAATCCATTTTAATCCATTCTCGTTTGCTGGAAGGTAAAGAATATCGCCTCAGCCTGCCTTAGCGATAAAGAATGTGCTCTCTTTATTAAATTTTCGTTTTTTTTTATAACTACACAGAAATGAATAACATACGGAATAATTAAAACGACTGTACAAACACGCGAAAACAATTTCAATTTTGCGTTGCTATATTCATATTCATAAGCGCAACATGACGGGACGCATTCACGCATCGCGAAGTCTGGAATGAAGTTGCGCGCGGAACCTCCGCCCCCGTTGCTCTCATGATGGCTCTCGCGTTCAAGCGCGTGCACGTTTCCAAAACTTAAGTGTCTGGATCAAGAATGAAATGTAAGTGACATGAAATTAAACGTTTACGGAGGGACAGGGTTAAAAAAAAAAAGTCTTTGGCAGTTGGTTTTAATGATCGTTTTCTTCTCTCATTTATTGAGGATAACTTTTTGAATGTCGCCTTAGGCAAACTTGGCCCGATTCAGCCGGGTCCCCCGTATCGCGCCGCCAACTTCAACCCGCGACCTATTTGCGGATAGCTTCGAGTCACGAGACATGTGTCTCTAGAATAAATTAAAAATGGAAATGAAAAATAAAAATAGATAGGAAAGAAAGAAAGAAAGAAAGATACGAAGCGGAAGGTGAGTTATCGGTTAGGAGGCGAGTCTCGAAGGCCTCTATTCAATCGCCGCAGACGAATTACGCAGAACCATTCCCTCACGCTGCAGACGATTCGTCCTTTACGCCGAACACAATACATTCTTCAACACGATTATGCATCGTATGATACTTCGACGGAGGGAATTTACACTTTGGCGGAAATAAAGAATCGGCGTATAAGTCTAATGTAAAGGAAGAGAGCATAAATGAAGCTTCTAGGAAGCGTAAATTAGAATAGCGTTAAAAAAAAAAGCGTTTTAAAAGTTAAATTCCTTTTAAAATAAAGTGGTGCAATTTCAAACGTAGTACAATTCTGAATGGAATAAAATTTGAATCCAACTTTTGAGATTCAAGTTTGGTAATTCTTTCATTGTATGAAAGGTATACTGAAGGATATTAAACAGGAAAAGATTAATCTTGAATCTCGAAAATTGGATTCAAATCTTATTTCGTGCAAAGTTGTACCTTATCCGTCGTTTTAATTTATACTTCTTAAAAATTCCTGTCGCTTCCCTTATATTCAAAACTCTAATCTTTTAATTTCGCCATAAGATACCCCAGAATTCATTAGTATAAGCGTGTCATGTTCTGTCATATAATCTCTTATTTTGTCCTTCAAGGCAATCAGTGGCGTACATCAGAAAGACACGCTCTTTGCTGCGACGATAGGAACGACCTTAAAGAACAGCATCGTCCAAGCATGAGGGAGAAGCTTTTTCGGGCGCGACCGGGGAATATTTGCAAGATTACGTGAGAGCGGTAGTTTACATTCCTTTCTTTCTCTCTCTCTCTCTCTCTCTTCGTCTCTCGCTGTGTAAACGTCGGCTATTATTTCTCTAAATCCTTACAAGCTAGAATTATTATGTACAGCATTGTGGACACGATTTCCGACTTTCACTTATTGTTAATCGGCCATTCCTCCTAGGAGCACGATTAGCACACGGGCTTGCTCGTCTCATCGGCGCATCGCACGATATATGATAATCAACGAAAGGGAGGAAACTTTCCTCCCTTTCTCTTGACGACAATCGTTCGGACGTTACTTTATGATTTTGGACAAGAGCCATTGTGAAGAGCATGTGGATGTCGACTAATTAGATTGTTGCACTAATTAATATTGATTGAAAATATATCCACGTTTCCCTTTTTCAATTTTAAAGCAAAGAAAGATTCATAGGAATGTAAGAGTTGGCTTATTTGCAATTTCTGATTCTGTAACGAATCAGAAAAAACTCCCACTAGGATAATCACTTGATTACGTACTGCCTCTTTTACACACAAGATTGTAAATACGTAAAAAAGAATATTGTTTTTACTAAGCTCTATTCAACGGCTCTCATTGTCCCTCGCAATATAATTGCGCTAATTACATGTGCAGGCGAAAAACGCCTACCTTGTGTACAGTTGAAAAATGAAATTTTTAATGAAAGAAGACTGTCCCTCCACATAAATAAATTTGCAAACGCAGTAGCCAATTAAAAATGATCGATAGTATCATTCATGGTTTCTGATTGACTGCTGCGTTTGCGTTTGCAAATAACGTTTTACGATTATGATGACTCGTGTAAAAAGGTTTTTAAACGAAATTTAATTTTGTTTTTTCTCTTTTGTTCTCTATCTTCCTTTTCTTCTTTCAGTTTCTCCTTTTTTCAACTACAAGGCTTGATTATTACATCAAAAATGCACATCGACGTGATAAAATAGACAGGCCACGCCATTCTCTCTTTCTTTTTCTTCTACAATAAGAATTAAAAATATTCCTGCCGTATCGTGAGAGAATGTGCAGCATCGAAATTTTATCGCGCCGGATAATTCGATCGCAGTTCAATCGTATGAATACATAACGTCGAAAAACATTTTCACAACAATATAATGTGATCTCTGTAACTACATTATATGATCGTCGTTAGATTTGTTATACACACGCGTATACGATGTCGACACACGCACGTTACAAAAAAAAAGAAATGGGAGACGTGTCATTGCGCATACATAAATCTCGTTTTCGCAATAGAGCGATACGAATATCCTAATAACAAGATTAATCCAATTTACTAATCCAATATCTCTGCGCCTCTCTCTCTCTCTCACACACACACACATACGCGCGCGCGCGCGCGCACACACACACACAGTTTTTCGCAGTACAAATTCCGTTAATTGCTGACTACTTTCTATAGCGAGAGATACGACACTTCTCTTTCTTATTTTTCTCTTATTCCGTTATCATTGGACGAGACAAAAACATGCAATTCGTAATTCATACTTAACACTTGTGGCATAATTGATACTTAATTCAAGCTTAACTTAAGCTGATCATTATTTCTTAAAAAAAAGAAAAAAGGAAAAAAGAAGTATGATTGAGACAATCATCACTGAGCGAACACTTTGATCCCACGTGGTATTCGCTGAACAAAGTACAATTGGTGCGTATTGTCGAACGAAATGTTGTATATGTGTTTAATTAGACATGGTGATTGCGCACAATCATACATCTTACAGAGGCATCCGATGCGCATGTTTTGTGTCTGTGTGTTTTATGTGTATGGGTGCGTTATACGCGCATCTTTTGTACGCATTCAACTATGCATAAGACCGTGCACGCAGTAATTATTCTCATTTGGTTTCTTTTGGCATTACAAAATAATCTTATTTACAGTCTGTTGATATAATATCAATATTCATACTTCTTTATACTAAATTATACGCGATAGAGCATATTATGTTTATTTACTATATTATGCAGGTAGGGAACTATTTACAGAATAAAATGATAATATAAATATACCGTTGGGTATCGTCGAACAGATTTTACTGCATGTGTATATGTGTAAGTGTAGATTCGTGTGTGTGTGTGTGTGTGTGTGTGTGTGTGTGCGCGCGCGCGCGCGCGCGCGCGTGTATGTGCGTGTGTGTGAATATGTCGTTTATATGCGTCTATATTTGCTTCTTCTCAATTTGAATCGATCCTTTCGTTGTAGACATTCGGTCGTGGATTTCGGTCTCGCGGAACAATCGGTAACAAGATAAAGCATCGATCAGTGTGATTTTTGATGGAGCGAATCATTGGAACTGGAGGATTTGAGAAACGTGTCATCGTGAAATATGAATGAATATCTCATTTCTCTACATATTGCATCGGTTCGTGATGCGCGTAAAAAGAAACGAAAGAAAAAATATCAATTAAAACACAGCCGGAAATAAGGCATTAAATGCATAACATATTCGAAGTTTGTTTCTTAATTGTAATAACATAATAGCCCTACTTTAATTAAAAAACCTAGAATAATTTGCACACTATGATAATATATTACAAGTGTGCAATTTTTTACCTAACTATATCCCGAACGTTAAACGATTCATCTTTATATCGCGCACTCGAGCTGTTATAATAATCTACTTAAAATTCTCATTGGATGTAGCTACTTAAATTAAAATCCCGATTTTGCCAAATTTTTCTCTTCAACGAATCAACCTCGACGGTCAATTTACAGGCCAAGAATATTCGGCGATGAATATTCACGTTCTTCTAACATAAGCGAAGAACGACGGGATAAATATGAAATATCACTAAGGCGGCGAAATGGTACAAAGAAAGAACTTACTTTCTTTTCTTTCTATCTTTGCAAAACTTCTTCGCGGAGTTTCCTTTTTCTTTTTACATTTTCTTTCTTTTTTTTCATAAAACAATTTACAATGAAGATGTCAGCATCGCGCGAAGTAGTGTATTAACCGCCTTCCTCCAATTTAACGCCTCGTTATCTGCACGAGTTAATTATTAAAGAAATATCTCTTCAGTATTCACAGCAGATACAGTCAATTTAGCTGTCTTCATCGTGGAAAATTTTCAGAGTATCGTAAGGTGCTATCAATTAAATAAAGTATCTAAAAGAATAATTCAAGAGATTTTCAATAATTTGAATTAGTTCATGATCGTATTTTCATTAAATTATGATTATTTAAATTAGACTTTGTACATAAAAACAAAAATCTTTAAATAAATGTTATCAAACTATTCTTGAAATATGAAGGGGGATATATAGAAAACTAAAATATAAACTGAAATAAAAATAATTTCAAGACTATTTAGCAAAACGAGAACTCATGTAGAGAATAACGGAGCGTTAAATCATATCGGCATCGTTGTTAAGTCGTTCCAATCGCATTAAGTGCGCTAATACATTTCGTCGTATATTATTAATTAATTTTTGTTTAGGACACACGCAGTGAAACCTCATCTGCATTCATATTACAAGTCAACAAGGATTATCTCTGTTTAAGGATTATCACTCGTTGTAATTACATTATGTGAATGGAAGAAAAACAGGTGAAAAGATTGCGAGTAATCAGAAATGTATCACATCTAATTCACCTGAGCAAATCATGTTTTTCCTCTCTCTTATTTCTCCTTATTATGATAACAACTTTTGTCAAAGACTAATGCAAAACGCCTATTATGCGACAATTATAGAAAATTTTTGTTCATCGCTAAAAGAGAGAGAGAGAGAGAGAGAGAGAGAGAGAGAGAGAGAGAGAGAGAGAGAGAAAGGAAGAAAACTGAGTGAGTAAAGAAATAATCCTTATTGAAACAAACATCAACGCATACAGATGAATCAGGTATGTTCTGAGATATTTCACTAGTATTTCTTTGAATATATTTCGGAACATATCTGAATGTTACGTAGCTCAGAATATTTCAACATATGTATCAGAACATACACAAAAGGTACTCCCCATTCAATAACCTACAGACTTTTGCAATTTGGAATATGCTCTTCCAAATATCCTCTTCTGGACCAATCGAGTGAAAAACATAGCCTTAGAGCACCTCCACTATCTCATCCAAATAGCCATACTATGCCGCATGGGACTGCTGAGACTGCGGCAGTTTGCTGGAGCTTTTGTGATGACTGGACGCGTGTCTTTCCTGAAAACGACAAATAGAAATGTGACGTCTTGCTCTGTGAAGTAATGCAAACAATGAACGAAACATCCGCTAGTACCGCGTAAAAATAACACGTCGTGTAAATAAATACTACATTTTTAATATACCTTTAATATAATTGAGTCTATTATTTTGAGAATGATTTATAAGAATTCAAACTTTGAATGAGCGAGATGTGAATTTAAACTGAATCTAATAGATGAGACGTCGTTTTTATTTTCAGCAGAATTATCAAAATAACTGACTCAATTTTTACAGTTTCATAGTTAAATGTAGTATATATAAACTCATATCTCTTTTTCTTTCTTCATTTCTGTAAATTTTCTAACATTCTTTTCCATAAGAATTTGATTTCAGATAGATTGATATGGGAACGAATAGATCATGAAAAATCAATTATGTTAGATTAAGTTTAGTGTATGGGATAAAAAGCATGAATGCACATAATGATATATGACTAACAAATTAATGATAATTCGCAGTGGGAATGAAAAAAGAAGTATTCTACTGGCATTTCTGGGACGATGAATTAGTTTCTAGTTTCTGGTTTTTCTTCGATTATATAAGCCGGTAATAAAATGGGACTGAGTTAAGGTACGCAAACTAGCAAAAGCATTTATTTGCAAATTCTACGCATGCAAATATATATTCAAATGCAAAAAGAAGTGTAAATCATGCAAGCGTATGCTCATATTTGCGTTCATGCAGACACGCTCGCACACATACATATCTCAAAACATTAACAACGTACTATTACAACAGCGATAAGTATAATCGAGTGATAACGGTAATTTTGCTCCCAATAATAGTAGCAATAGTAGTCGTGATGTACCCTTCACCAAGCAACAGGCACGGATGACACGGGCAATGTCCATTATCTTATTTTGTTGATTTTTGATGAACTCGTTTCGTGCGTGATTTATGTAACGATATCGCAATATGATCGCATAATATACTGAGCCGTGATGTTAATACATATATGTATATTTTGTGTGTGTGTGTGTGTGTGTGTGTGTGTGTGTGTGTCACATGTACATATATATAATGTACATATATATATAAATGCAGCGATACAGTGTGCGGCAGTACTGCATATGTACATATAATATGTGTAATATTAAGAAGACAAAATAATCACTAAAGTACGTTTCATTTGCACAGTACGTTTATTTACGTTGCTTTCATTTCTTTTTTTTTTATCGACCACGCGACGCGTACGATCCCTGTTGTATAATTCTGTGTACTTCCTTGTCTAAAATAATTTATTTTTCGCTCTAATATTTGTGAGCAATCAAAGATTAATATATTTGAATTAAAAATTAAAATATTTTAAGACGTTTCGGTAACTGTATTTCAACTTCGTTTCTCTCTTTCTCTCTCTCTCTCTCTCTCTCTCTCTCTCTTCAAGACAGGTAGCGTACGCGACGAGTGATAAATATACATCGTGTACAGAATTTACGCAGTTTTCACGTTACACATATATATATATATTCTTTTTTTTTGGCGAGGTGTACTTGTATCTTAAGATTTATATTTTTTAATTCATTTGTGCATCGTATCCGCTGCTCATTTCGCGCGAGCTTGCACTGCGATGTCCTCGTGACGATTACTCGATGGCTTTAAATCGATATATCATTCGTTAACAATCAACAGCTTAAAAGCATTATCGATATACACCAATTTGTCGATGATTCCATTAATCCAAACTCTAGATTATTTTATTAAAATAAAATACAATAGACAATTTCGCTACTCTGGATCAAGACAAAGAAAAGTATCTCAAGAATTACTAAAAAATTGTATAAATTTTTAATATTATCAAAAATATTTTTACGTCGCTAAAAACTCGTGTACATCTTTAACATATACATATATGTATATGTGTATTTTATCTCTCTCTCTCTCTCTCTCTCCCTTTCACTCACATACTCGCTCTCTGCCTATCTCTTTCTCTTTCTCTCTCTCTCTCACTCTCTATGCTACTTATCAATCATAGATCCTCTGTCAAGTTTCGAATTATTCTATTGTTTAAAAAAATTTTCTATCATCACTTATTTACTTTCCAGTACACTACATACTTCAATTAATTTTAAACAATATTTTTGCTAAAACAAATTAATCTAATAAAAAAATTATGTCACTAGAAAAATGGTTGAATTTTCATCTAGAAACAAATCAGCTATAAACTAGCCCATAAATTTATTAACGAGAAAGATAAATGACATATAAAGTATTATATAAATATATGTATGTATATACATAATATACTCTTCTGCTTTTCTCTTAAATTTCTTATGATCACAGAATATAAAAACTAGAGATTTACCTTAGCAATTATTTTGTCTTTCTATTACTGCTTTTCAATTACTATCGTAATTGCACAATTTGATT